GGGGGGGGGGGGGTTGAACTACGTTTAAAATGTGAGGAGAAGGGGAACTTCCGTCTGCTCATGTTGACTTAGGAGTTAGCATACGCGCTTACCGCGAGACACCTCTATAGAAATGAAATTTATGATATGAAAATATTTACAATGATATGCTTTCATATTTTTGATAAAATTAAAAATAATTAAGCTGTTAGAAGAAATATATAACTTAAATTTAATGGTTCATATTATGTAACATTTTATTTTAAAATTGTAAGTTCAATAAATGTTATTACATTTTACATAATACTTAAAAAAAATATAAAAAAGTAATTTTAGTTAGTTTTTATTTTGTCATCAATTCGGTAGGGTATGGACAAATAAGCAAACAGGAGGTGATTTCTTATAAAAAAATAAGACAAAAAAGAAAAGGGAAATTTTTTCGTTTTCAATTTAATGATTAAAATAATTGAATTTTAAAATTTGTTTCATGCGTATGTAATTAAAGCTAATAAAGAGATGCTGCGAACAGTCCGTCTCTGATTTGGATGAAACTTGGTAGGCTCAAAGAACAGCCAAAAATATTCCGCCTCCTCAGTTGTACCATCGATGCTGAAACATCCTGTATGTAATAATAATATATATTATTATTATTGTTATAATATATATTATAATCGTATATTAATTAATAATAATTATAATTGTATTTTTAAAATATTATATTTTAGATTAGATAAAATGATTATTTTTTAAATTAGATGAAATAACTAAAATAACATGTACGTGTCAATATGTATAGAATAGATAGATCCTTATGTATATTGTATTTGTATAGTTAATTTGTAATAATTCTAAACTACACTTATCTCGACGTGTTTAGTCCGATTAAACGCAGACGGCACCGGCGTTGACGCGAGTATAGCGAGCCCCAAACATCCGACATGGATGCGACATATAAGTAACCGATATAAAAATGCAATCTTTACATTATTTGCTGAGACCACTGTACATATATACGTATATTGTTGTTTTTGAAATAAAAAATGCAATTTCTTTTTATTATATGAACAATCGCTGTAACTCTTCAAATAAACATTAACAATAACAATTTTTTAAAAATATTATTGAATATTTTTTGTTAACTTTTACATTTTTTTTCACTATCTCTAAAACCATACAATTTTTAGTAAAACAATTTTTTGTTATATCTTATCGTTTTCGAGTTAGCTCTTGGATAATTTCATTCCTTAAACTTGAATTACCACACTAAGAAAGATATTTTTGGCAGTTCTTTAAACCTACCAAGTTTTATCCAAATCGGAGGCGAAGCATTTGCGGGATCTCCTTGTAAGATATGATTCACCGAGTGATATATAATGCCTATTATCTCTTCAACATTATTTACAAAACACAAAATTCCAGAAAAAAAAAGAAAGTGAATGCGATTATTTTATTTATCATTAAGTACAAAGTTACTGAAACATAGCGCAATGGTTACAATTGCAAACTAAATCTAACATTATTATGATTAGGATTATTATTTCTTAAAATACTATCTTCGATAAAACTTCACTGATAAATATAATTACAGTTCTGATATCATGGTTTAAAAGTACCATTTTTTATAAGATTTTATTCTACTCTTGTATCGTTCTTGGATAGGAAATCTTTAGGATAATACCTTTTGAAGTAACGAGTGATAATAAATAAATATCATTGTATGGGAGATTAACAAAATGCAACTGTTCAGGAGAAAGTTGAAATAAACCAAAAGTTGTAGAACATTATTTACAAACACGGTAGACACTATTGTACTTATGCATGCATAAAACGAATATTTAAAATCGATTATTTTAAAAACTAAGTAAAAAATAAAGAAAATGTTAATTTCTTTTTTTTTTGTTTATACATGTTATTTAACCGTATTCTCGGCTATGTGTGTATGTGTGTGTTGTATTTTATAAAATTTGACATTTATTTTGTTTATGTTACTTATGCAATACTGTGTATGAAAAATTGCTATATTAAGTGGTTTTCATTTGACTATTATGTCCTACATGGTAATAATAAATAATTTTTGATATTTTATAAAGAGATGTATGTGAACTATTTCTTATATATTGTCTTGCACAAGTCATAAAATTATTGACATATCATGTAATCTTAAAACAAATTCCTTCAACAATTGCTTTTTTGCCAACTTCATGAGATGGAAGAACAGCCATGTGACTCTGAAAAAATACAATTATATTATCTGTACTTCTTTTCATTTTAAAAAATAAACCATTATACCATTGGTGTTTGTTCATTTGAATTCATGTAACCTATTATCATTGAATTTGTAGAATGACTCCAAAGGAAATCTCCTAATCCTTCTTGAGGTGCATATCGAATAGCAATAACACCTCCAAGTTTTTGTTCAAGGTCATATAAAAATTTTGAATCTAAAAAGATTTTCATTTATTTATACTGACACAAATTCTAAAATTATTAATTCTAATATAGAAGATATTTTTTGACGCTGAAAAGAAATAATAAAGTAGTTACGAGTTTTCACCGATAAAATCAGTTTTCATGGAATGATATAAGTTGGTAATAGGACAAGAACTATCTGATATAGCTTCTGCAACTGTTCGTGCTAGTAAAGTCCGAATAAGATGTTCTCCACAGCCTGATGTGCTTGTTCCTATAGAATATTTGTTTTTATGTGCCCATGTACCACATCCCCACATTCCTGCCTTTAAGTTTAATAATATTATAATGCTACCTCATGAAATGTTTATAAGTGATGTTAATAAATATGAAAACAAAATTACAATTTATAATAAATACTATACCTGTCCCACTCTTCCTGGATGTTTTAGAATAATACCACCACTAGAACAAGCTCCAGCAATATTTCCTTCTTTATCAACACATATTGCTCCAACTGTGTCCATTCTTTGCTTAGTACACTAAATAATTTGATTTAAGGTTATATTATCAAAAAATTATATAGAGATATTGAAAAACATTTACCTTGTGAATTTCTGTATTAGAATTTTCTATTTTTTTTTTGTAATGTTTATACATTTTCTGCGCTTTTGCTAAAAATTATTAAACTATTTAATTAGTAAAGATAATTTAGATATAACATATAGACATATAGATATAACAAAAAAGTATTCGCTAAATGTTAAAATTATTTACAGTGAGTAACGAAAATATTCGGAATACCAAAAAGTATATATGAAGTATACATGGATTTATTTCTTTATATCTTAACTCTTTATGCATAAAATCAATGTATTCTTTTTTCACGTGATAAGACATTTATTAGAGTTATAAAGTATATAAATATTTTTCTTAGCAGTTTTATAAACAATATATTCTAATTAAAAATAACTGAAAAGATGTTATTATTGCGTTACAAAAATATTCGGACACATTTAAAGAAACGTGATTTGAATGTCCTAAATAACAGTATATTTTGTAGCATGACTTTTCGCTTCTAAAACGTATCTTAAAAATATTTTGAGATACTAGAAATTATTTTTTTCCAAAAAATCAGGACTTCTACATTCTCATTCTTCTTGTAATCTTTTTTAAGCTCATTTTTTAAATTTATAGAAATTATTCTTATTCTATAATCTAATTTATTCCACAAATTCTCTATCTGATTAAAATCTGGAGACTGTAGAGGTAAATGCATCACTCTTTTGCAATTATATACCAAAAATTCTTATATTCAAACCTTGTGCTTAGGGTCATTTATTGACAAAATGTAAAACTGTTTGAATGCTCATTTTGATAGCACTTAGTATTAAATTATCCTTTAATATATTTAAATATTTGTTTTTGTCCATGATGTCGTCAATAAAAATTAATCTGTCAGCGCCACTACACCAAATACAACCCCAAACTACTTTCAGTGTTTAAAAGTCACTCAAGAATTTTTTACTTTTAACTCAGTATTTGCTCTTTTCCAGACCATTACTTGTTCATCTGTATGAGATATATTAAATTTACGTTTGTCTGCAAAAATGACAACATTGACTTGTAGACAAATTTCTCTGCAAATCAGACTTGTTCCTTTCTATTTATTTTATTCATGAAGGGCTTTTTGCGTACAACATTATAACTATTTCCTTTTAACAATCGTTGGATACTTTGAGGATGCACATCTTTTTGTATTTCTTAAGATAGCGATAGGAAATACATGATGTCAGCAACAGTGCTCTTACTTAAACTCAATATTTTTCCAATCTCACAGTATAATTTGTCTTTTCCAAGGTGAAAAATCACAAGTTGTCAAATATTAAATGAGGTATTGACTTGGTGACCCACTGTTGCAAACTTATAATCAACTTATAATAGAAATTGAAACTAAGAAATTATGAGAAACTTTGCCTTCCAATGCTATCATATATTCACAAAGTTTATAAGCATAATGTCTTTTTGCAAATTCACGAATGCTTAAAATGAATAATTTACAGAAACATACAAGTGTCCAAATATTTTTGTTACTCATTGTATATAATTTAAAGAAAATTATTGATATTAATATTTTTTGTTATAATATCTAATAATATTTGTGACATAAATAAGGATAAGTTCAAATATAATAGAACTTGTATTCACAAATTATAAGACTATGGATTATTGAATATAAATTGGGCATAATATTTCAATGTACATACTTGAAATTAATTGTTCTGGAGGTAAAGTTTGTATTCCCATTTCTTGTGCCCATAAATGTGCACCATTTCCAACTAAAAAACTGATAACATAAAATTATATTTATCTATTTTTATATTTAAATTATAAACATATTTTTATTATTGTTAATCTTGATAATATCAATTTAATATTTACCTTGGTGGAATTCTACCATATGCGATTTTAATTGATTGATATTCACAAAGTCGTTTTGCTAATAAAACAGGATTTTTTATTCCACTAACTGCACCAACTGCACCAAACTGTAATGTAGTACCATCCATAACACTTGCATCACATTCTACTACTCCTTCCAATGTAAGATTGGAACCAAATCCAGCATTGGTTAAAGGAGAATTTTCTAGTATCATTACAGTTTCTACTACAGCATCTAATGAACTACCACCAGTTTTTAAATTCTGTATACCCTTTAAGTATATTTTATTAGAATTATAAAGTGATATATTATAGTGTTATTAAAATGATGCAAATAAAAAATAAAAATGACTTACAGCTTTACATGCTTGACGACATAGTTTTTGATATTTTTCTTTAAGAGCTTCTGAATGTCGACCTGCTCCTAATAAGATATGTTACTATATTAATGAATATAAGTACTTATCTTAACCATAATTATAATTTATTTTGTTTTACTGCAATTGTATTAAAATATATAGTTTAGAAAATAAATAACATACCTACATGAACAGCTACAAATCCTTGATTAATATTACTCATTACATCTAATAAATTTTTACTGTTATCAATTCTATATTTTTTTTCATAATTACGATTCGTCAAATATGTTATTTATATATTGAGTAGAAGTATATAAATATCTGTAAATAAAATTACATTTATAAATTTGTATCTAATTTATATCTTAATGACCTATAAATTTAATTATTATTTTTTTCTGGATATCAGATTAGTTTTGAACAATGAGATTTAACGATATATGAATGAATAAAAAAATAACTTATAATTTCAAAATATCATAATTTATAATACTTTAAATAACTCAAGTTGAAATATAAGTTTTACATAGAAATATAAAAGGGTAAAATTGTTCAAACATGTAGTTCTTAAAACCAACACCAAAGGGCGTAAATTTTTCCACGAAATACGCGGGACTTGTCAATCCATACTCTGTATTAATACCAATGGAATTAAACACACAGTTTATTACTTGTTATATTTAAATTTGGACGTGAAGTACGTAACATGTACAATATTTTTATGTTTTTTTGGAATATGTAAAATTCATATTACCAGTTATTAACATAAAATTTTAATTTTTGCAAAATTAAATTAAGACTTTTCATAGGTATATTTACATTTTCTAATTTATATGAATATCATACTTTACATATTCAATAAAAAATATTTGTTTATGTTTATATTTGTTTCTTTTGGCATTAGGATGTCTCAAGTACTAATAAATGTTATTTTAGGTTATTTGAATCAACATTTCTAATATTGTGGCTATCTATTTCAACTTTATACAATATATGTATATGTATATATAATACGTGTGTGTGTGTGTATATATATATAGTGCGTCTATATACATATGCATATTTATTTATTTATTTATTGTAAGTATTTAAAGCTTCATTTATTTTTATATCAAACACTTACTTGTATAATAAACTTTGTTGTTTTATTATAATTGATAAAAATTTGATAAAGCTTTTAGGATTACATAATAAACAATAAAAAGTATATAATTTATAATATATTGAATGGCCATAGTAGCGAAAAATATTTGGACTTTGTGCTGCAAGCAATTGTTTTCGTACAACAATCATGTTGATATTCAATTTTCTAAAAAAATTTTTTGGATGGGTAGATGAAGCACCTCGAAAACGTAGAGCAGTTTCATTTAGTTTAGAAAAAGAATTTGTTACTCCAAAAAAACATAGATCAGATTATAAAACTATTAATGTGGAGGAAGAACCCATTGAAATCAAAGATGACAGTGATGATGATGTTCAAGTTATTATCAAACATAAATATTCTCCTATTAAATCTTCTAGTAGATTAAATGGTAAATGTAGTAATAGAGATAAATCACTTACATGCTGTTCGTCATCCTTTTCTCCATTAAAATCGCAAGCATATTATGATACACTAAATATGGGATATTCTGATACTAAAAGAGAAAAAGTACAAAATGTTGGACATCAACAATGTTCAACATTGACTAAAACCCATCATTTAAAAGAAATAAATCAGTATGAAGAATTATTACAAAATTTTCTTCCACGTAAAATACATGCTACATATGATAAACATGAAGATAAAAGATCTACACAGAAACCAATAGAAGTAATAGATTTAGAAAAATCTAAATCTTTGACTCCTTTGCCGAGAACACAGTTAACTTTTAGAAAACGTGATTCAACGTTACAAATGCATAGGAATACTCCAATTAAAGAAAAAAAAGATAAAGAAATAATTACTTTAAATAATGATAAAAAAGAAGAGACAATACATTCCCTTCATGATAAAACACCATCTCAGAAAAAGAATGTTGCTGTGGAAAAATTTATACAAAATAAACATATGGAATGTATAAGTACAAACACATTAAGGGATCGATTAGCAGCAAAAGCTGTAATGAGAGAGGATTTTGTTCCTCAAGTAGCAAAACGTTATAATGAACGTATTGAACAACGTTACAAGGAAGCAGAAGAACTTAAAAAGATGACATGTGTATTATCCAAACATAATCGTTTAGCTAGAGAAGCTGCTTTAGAAGAACATTTAGCACGGTCTATGAGATTATGTGAAGCTGTTTTAGAAGAAAGAGAAGAATTAGAAGAGCCAGAATTACCTATCTTAACAGAGGAAATGGTACAAGAAATAAAGAATGCTCTTACTCCTCGACCACCAGATGAAGTTCTAGTTGAAGGATTTGGTTTAAGAATCACAAGAAAAGATATTCATACATTAGCTGATTTAAATTGGTTGAATGATGAGGTCATAAATTTTTATATGAATTTACTAATAGCCAGAAGTGCTAATGATAAATATCCAAAAATACATGCTATGAATACATTTTTCTATCCAAAATTAATCTCAGGTGGACATTCATCTTTAAAGAGGTGGACAAGAAAAATTGATATTTTTGCACAAGATCTTATAGTTGTTCCTATACATTTAGGTATTCATTGGTGTATGTCAGTAATTGACTTTAGAGATAAATCTATTCGTTATTATGATAGTATGGGTGGCAACAATTTAAAATGTTTATCAGCACTTCGACAATACCTAGAAGATGAAAGCTTGGATAAAAAGAGACAAACTTATGATACTAGTAACTGGAAGTTTGAATGTGCCAAAAATATTCCACAACAAATGAATGGGAGTGATTGTGGTGTTTTCTCTTGTATGTTTGCTGAATATATTTGTGCAAATAAAAAAATTACATTTACACAGCAGGACATGCCATATTTTCGACATAAGATGGTTTATGAAATATTAAAGTCCAAGCTTTTATAAAAAAAATATTATTTATTTATGTAACTACTGACAATGGCTAAGTTATATAGCTTATAGCAACTTCCAAAAATGATAAAATATTTTAGCATAAAAGAGTCTATTATTGGGTAGAATATTCTAAAAATACAACATTTATACTGAATAGTAATGTTATTCATATTATTATCATAGTATTAAAAGGAGTTATGCAGTATGATTTCTTTTATACTGTCAAAAGTGTATTTTTGTTTGAAAATAAACTGTTAAGTTTTTGCAATGTAAAAAAGAACTTCATGAACATAAATTAAAAGAATATTATAATAGATAGTATTTCCCCAATGAAAATACCATACTTATTTTAATAATAAAATTTATTCATAAAAAGTATAATATTTAACCACCGCACATTCTTTATAAAAAATAAGGAAATGCAATGTATTATAATGCTTTATTTCGAATAAATGTAAAATTTGTTTAATTATTCATATACAAATATTTATATATTTTATGTTTGAAATTATTCATGTAATAAAAAAAATAATTTTTTTGATTATGGTTATATTCCACAAACATTTTATTTCAATATTTCAATCCAAATAATATCAAAACAACATCGGGCGAATCCGATGATGTCAAAATGTCAAATACTAATGCGCGGTTGTAACTATTCACTAATTTTATTTATACTTTGTCACTGAATACATATATAATATAAAAAGCATATAAAATAATATTATATCTGTTATTAGAATTTGTAATTATTATTATTTAATAAATGGATTATTTTACAAACTTTCAATATCGTATCATAACTTAAATAACCTATTGTATGCAGCGTCTGCGGCTTATAAGTTGATTGCAAAATAGGCTGATAAATCTTTTATAATTATAACAAACATGAGTGCTTATAGTGTAATAACATCGGATTTTATAAATGTATGTATTACTAATTCTAGTCAAAGTTCATATTGTGTAGAAAGACGATTTCAAAAGGGAATAACAATTAATGAATTTAAGGTAAGAATATGTAATAATAGTTGTATATTATTTTTTGATTATATATACTTATTTTATTATATTAAAGGGAAAATTGGAACTTGTTACTGGTGGTAATCCACTAACAATGAAGATTGAAGTATATGACAAAAATGATAAATTAATTTGTAAATTAGATGATGGTCAACGTTTGTTAGGATCATATCCTATTGATGATGGGATGCGAATACATGTAACATTAATTTATATAAATTGATGGAAAACTTTTATTTCATTGTATAAATAATATAAATAATATTTTAGGTAGTAGATAATTTTTCTCGTACAGAGGAAAATTTAAGTAATGTAGAAAAATTTGAAATATCTGAAGAGGAATATGCTAAAAGAACAGGTACAGTAATCAATAAAGTATAAATTATAATTGGAAATTTGTATATATAACAACTGATTAGTAAAAACTTTAAAAATGTGTTCTATTTTGAAATAAGTAAATTAAGATATCTTAATGTACATTTGGAAACATCTTTTTTCAATATATAATTTAATTTAATATGTTACAATTTTTTGTTTATTTCTAAGTCTCAATATTCATAATAATTTTCTTAATAATTTTATTAATCATATCATATATTATTTTATAGATAATTATAATATTATTTTATAACATAATTTTATAGAAAACATTTTATGATATCAATTTATTACTTAGATGATTGTAGAATATTAATATGAATTTGTACATAGAACTTCTAATTCTTTTGACTAATTTTGAATGTATGTATACACGTGTGTGTGCGTGTGTGAATATATTTATGCAGTTTAACTAAACATTAAATTTTTAATATTTTAGATACTGTAAAAGCATTTTTGGAAAAAAATAAATTAGGAAAATATAATGAGGAAGAAATGAAAAGAAAAGTAGAAGAAAAAAAGCAAGAAGAAGAAGCAGAAACATTAGCTGCTCAGTTATGTAAAGTTGGTGATCGTTGTGAAGTTTGTGTACCAAATCAACCAAAACGAAGAGCTACAATCATGTATATTGGTAAGTACAACTTTTGTTTAAATTTATTGCTTGATTATATCATTTTTGTTCATGATTTGTCTGTAGGTAAAACTGAATTTAAAGAAGGTTGGTGGATTGGAGTAAAATATGATGAACCACTTGGTAAAAATGATGGAACGTAAGGTTATATTTATTTTATATTAATTATATATTAATTATATATTTTCATGTAATTTAATCTTCATGTCTGGTATGACTTTTTCTGTAGCTTTAATGGAAAAAGATATTTCGAATGTTTACCAAAATATGGTGGATTTGTAAAACCAGCACATGTGAGAGTAGGAGACTTTCCAGAAGAAGAATTTGATTTAGATGAAGAATTATAAAATATTAACATATTTCATCAATCCGATTTTTATTAAAAATTAGAACTTACAAGGGATTTAGAACTGATAACATCTATTATATATAAAAACGCTTAATATTTTCTTCTCTTTATTATATCTGGTCTCCAATTCACAGGATGTGTTTCTTCAGTCTGGAAACATGAGTAACAAAATAATTATATGTCTGTATCTTAATCATTGATATAATTAACATTTAAAAAATAAAATTTTCTTACAGCAGTATCATCTTCTTTATAAATTTTGATTGTTTTGTCTGCTTCTGTTGTAATCATGCGAGTACCAGACATGTCAAATGTAATACTAAATACTCCAGCTTCACTATCCATTGAACCTGGTTGTACAGGTGCTTGTAAACGTTGAAAATTATATCTAAAAGTTCATATATTTATAATAAGTGATACTAAAAACCAATTTAAAAAATATAATCCTTACATCAAATATTATTTACCCTGTTCTCCAATCCCAAAGATGCATGGTACCATTATCTGCTCCAGAAACTAACACACCATCAGGATTAACAGCCAGGCAATTAACTATGGCGTTATGTCCAGATAAATTTTGAATAAATTTTCCTTCTGGGCATTTCCATTGTTTAATATTATCTGGAGATGCAGATGCAAACATATATCTAATAAACAATATAAATTAACTTGAAGAAAATGTACACATATATAAGTATATATAAATCAAAGAAAAATACATACAATGATGGATGAAAAGTTACAGCTCTTACACTCTTTTTATGATTTGTTAAGGTAGCTTTAGATTTTCCAGCAGCTAAATCCCATAATCGTATAGTACAGTCATGACTTCCAGTAATTATCTAGTTAAATAAAAATTAAAAAGAATATATACAGTTGACAATTTTATTTTTAAATACATAGTAATGTTAAACGAAAAATACCTGTGGTTCAGCTGTTTGACAAATTACACTAGCAACTGTGTTAGTATGACCAACTAGTGTATGTACATTTGCTTTAGTCCGCATATCCCATACCCTTGCAGTAGAATCTCTACCTGCAGTTACTAATACATCAATACTAGGATGTAATGCCATGGAATAAACAGCTGATAAATGACCATGGTAATGTCTTATAACCTGTGAAAATAATAAATTATGAAGTACTAAGTTTATTAATCATTAATTAACGAATATATAAAATAATACCATAAATATATTTAATAACCTTGTTGTACTCAAGGTCCCAACATTTTACTTGTCGATCTTCTCCACAAGAAAATAGATATGGATGCCTTTGAGAAAATGCAAGTCCACGAACACTACTTATGTGACCAGTTAAAGAAACTTTCAATTTACCACTTGCAAGATCCCATATCTAAAATTTTTGAAAACATATTAATATGAATAAAATTTAGTATACAAAATAGATCAAATAAACTTGAAAAGTTTGAAAACGATTTTAATCATTTTAATATAATAAATATGATAAATATATTTAATTTATATATATTAAACTGTTGTTTTTAATATAAGTTTAAATGAAAAAGATTTTATTTCTATCTATATCATTAAGTTAAAATAATTTCCATTGATTCCTATAATGTTTCCTTAAAAGTAATCAATCTAATTGTTCTCAAATATTTTTATACTTTTACTCAAAATTAAAAATTATTTTTTTTATTGCTTTTAATTGATTATAATTGTTAGTATAAATAATTGTTAATATTTTATAATGCTGTTTCACGTTTATATTTTTATTTTTTCATTTAAAAACTCAACTAAGCTAGATTATTCTAAACTTTAAACAATTGTAAATTTAAAAAAAAATAATATCATCAATATAATGTTGCTAAGAAAAAAGTGATACAGGCGTAATTTTATCAAAAATTAAATCGAAAAAATGGAAATTTTCTTTTTTATCTCTTTTTATTGTTTGAATTTTTAGGAATGACTCTAAAATATTAAGGTAAATTTCGCTAAAAAGGCGAAGCATTTCATTACATGTGTTTTAGCACATGTAAAAAATGTAATATGCGTAACATTTGAAACTAATTTCTCTTTACTTTAGGGCATTCATTTAAAACTGTTTTGTTATTTCTACTGTGGTAAATTTTTCGTATGAACAGGAAATGTTTGAACCAAGATAACTATGTGAATCAAGAATATTGAATCTAATGCGATCAGTGATGTGAATGAAGAGTGTCTGTATCAAGTGAATGAAACTAGGGCCAAGCCAACAGTCACCCCATTATTTTCAAATGTGTTTTTCTTAAAACCATATTTTTTCATACTAGGCAGCTCAATAACTCAATCAATTTTCATCCAATTTACTTAAAATTTTGTATGGTAGTTCCTAATACAATACCCTTTAGTTGCACATATGGAATTTTTGATTTAATAATTAATTTCGGCGTGGTATTAAAAGAAATATTAAATTTTTTACACGTTTTAGAATTCTTTTCTTCAAAGTATCATCATTTTATAATAAATTATCATTTTTTTAAATCCCTACATGCAGCTGAAATTACTGTCTTATAGTTTAAAAAATTGAATGATTTCTTGTTTAAGAATATTCAGTGAAAAATCATAGGTCTGTCCATTTCTAACAAATTTCTGGAGGCTTCTCACACTGGCACCTATTATATTAATAATAATTAACATTTTTATATGAAATTTTTACAAGATGCAATTTAAAAAATGTATGTTTTGAAAGCATGAAACATTTAATAAAAAAGAGTATCAAAATTAACTTCAAAAAATTCTTGAAAATTGCTTTTATTTTCAACCATGACGGTGGTTTGTATAGCTTAAAAAAGTCAGTAAAAAAACAATTGTTAATTTTGTATTTGGATATTAATTAAAAAAGCTGAAGATGATAAGGGGGATATATGAGGAAAGAGTAAGTGAATTCACTGAAAATAGGACAAACAAAGGAATTTGTTTACAACAAGAGGACTAAAATAAGGCTGCCCACTGCGTCTAATGTTATTTAATGTATTTATCAATAGTATTTATGAAATATGAGAAAGAAAAAGTGTAGGAGGCAGCAGTAATAGGCAAAAATCTTTGCTCTGAAATTCGCGGATGATGTGGTTCTAGAAGCGGACGAAGCAGGACTAAGAGAAATATTAAAAGAAAGTTCTATTTCACATAGAAAGTGAAATAGACAAGATTGAAGTAAGCAGGCAGGAAGAATGAGAATTACAAGGACTAGAGCATATAATAAAATTAGAAACATTAAATATAATAGTAGATATAAATACATTAGGTTAAGTACTAAACTAGAATACCTGAGTACCTAAGATGAGAGTAGCTGAAAGTCAAGATTGATAACAAGGATCAAGTGTAGTAATCGAAATTAGCATAATAGGGTATACTAAAGCATTTATCAAAAAATTGTCTGGATTTAGAGGGGATATAGACGAGATAATATCAAGAAAAATAAATGGAAAAATTGTAAATTGAATAGCAGAAGTGGAAAAGAAAAGGAAGGAAAAGAAGCTGCAACTAGGGGATAATGTAAGCAGAATGTTCTAATAATGATATGGATGAAAAGAAATATCTTTTTACCAAACCAAGTTTCTTTTCCAAAGCTAAAAAGGTTGAAAAAATTATTATTATTACTAGTATTACTACTACAAGTACTATTACTTATGTTTTACTTGTCAAGCTTTATATACAAAGAAATCGAATTTCCTTTTCTTCACTATCCTAAATTTAATTTAAAAAGAACATATTACTATATCAACCACTCTTAGCTTTTACTTTTTAAAAGATGTACTACTATGTCAACTGCTTTCAGTTTTTGCTTTTGAAACGATGTAGTATTACATCAATGCATAAGTAATCTCAAAATCTTTAAATTCGGTAGATATATGTAACACTTATAGATTCTAAAATTTAAACATATGTTCCCTGTAACAATATTACTTTTTTAATTTAATAAATATTTAAGTTAAATATTGCTTGTTCTTATGAATAAAACATTTATGAACAAACCACTGGCTATTTTTCTTATATAAAAGCAATCTTATAATTTTCTGATATTTCAATATTAATTTTTGGCAAACTTACTTGCCGAGTTTCAGAATCATGATTTTCTTCATGCGTCATCAGTCGAAAAAATAATTAAATAAATTAATTTAATAAATGCTACAGACTATTACTTTTCAAATAAATAATTATCCATTTTGAACTTTTTATGATTTAAAGGAACATATCACGTATGAATTTTTCATTGACAATTAGATCCAAAATTGGTAAATTTCCATTATTCTATGAATCTGAATGATTATAATTAATTATATAACTTCTAAGATATTAAACTATTTGCAGTTGTTTTATCACTTTATATAATACATACATAATTATGATACAATATAAAATAATGCAAAACAAAATAATAATATGCTATATAATTTAATAATAATATTAAGTAAAATGATAATCTTACTTTAATTACTCTATCTGCTGATGCTGAACCTGTAGCAAACCACTCATTTCCTGGTTCAACAGCACAACATCTTACCCAACCAAGATGGCCACTAATAACTCTATACAATTTCCATGGTGCATGCCACTTTGGTTTTGCCATAGATGGTGTTTTCTTTTGTGGTATAAGTAATGCAATATTAAGCGCATTTCCTCCTGAATTTGCTTGACTGGTTACCACTATACTATTGTTTTGTGTAGGATTATAAGGTACAACTGCACCATTATTATTTCCTCCAAAAGATTCATCTATAAAATATTTGATTATTAAAGTTATAATATATAAAGTTATAAAAATATATTACTATTATTATTGTTGAAATAATAAGTAACATGTTTATATATATATATATAAATACCTCCTGGTGGAGGAGGATCCATATTTTCATTTTCATTTTGTGTTTTTATTATATTGTTATTCTTGACACGCTCTAGTACAGGGCCATAAGAATCTTTTGCTTTTACAGATTTTTTCATTTTTTGTCTGTAAAACATTATTATACTATTTAATTAATATTTATTTATATTAGAAGTATACAGTATACTTACAAATTAGGATCCACAGGTGGTAAATTACCTTGATTTAATAAAAACATATCATGTGTCCTTTTTAAAGAACGAAATACAAGAGTATGTACAGAATGCCTTTGTACATCCTACAAAGAAAAATGTATAATTTAAAAACTTTTTAGTTAAAAGTTATATTGCTATAATTCATCTCCTTTATATTTATAGTATTACCTATAGGTTGTAAGTAATACAATGATAATTATCTATATTAAAAAAATGATTACATTTAATGAACAATTATTTAATAAAATCTGAAATGCTTACCATTTCTGTGAATATAAATGTTTAAATTAAATGTAATATAAACTTAAAAGTATTTCGAGATTTGTTATCATCAAACATAAAATAATTTATCTATCTATAAGTTAAACTTTTACTATATTGTAACTTTTTATTCATTCCTTCAAAATTTCATTTAGATAAAAATTAAAAAATTTTGAAATACAAATACAAGTGTCTCTTTCATTAATAAACTCAATAACACATTACAAAAAAAGGTTATGTTTAAAGTTTAAATTACTAGAGATTTTCATTTTTATTTTATGAAACTATTTAAACTGTATAGATATTTATGTATGAATATTAAGATGAAATAGTATAAAGAGTAAGAAAAAAAATTATGAAAAGTTTATCTTTTATAATTTTACAATGTATAATAACTATTGCTGATAGAAACTGAAAGTATAGAATTGTCGAATCACAGTGGGTTACAATATAGAAATATTTATAGCAAATGGTGCTAAAGATTTAACATATTGGTTAAAATGAAAGAAAATCTATTATTTACTGGAATAAAACAAAACGTAGAGAAAAACAAAGAATTTTTATAATTTTCTACAACAGTAAAATAGAAAACAGTAATGTGAGCAAATGAATTAGCATATAAGAAAATAAAATATATTTAACAATTTTCTGAACGCTAAAATATAACGAGTATAATCACGAATAACGTCATTAAAGTTATGTGTAAAAGTAGTATAAATTATACTGTTTAATAACGCTATTTCTACTTTTCTTTAGAGATTTGAATTAATTTCTTTAAATTTTCTTTTCTTCCTTTAAGCGGGAAAATAACCTTGTAAATTTCAGTGTGTATTGTATTATCATCTCGCTTGTTAGCGTAAAGGAATGTTCTCAATCTTCCTATTCTTCATATTTTTAATTAGTGAAAGTTTGTATTATTGAAGAGTAGTAAAATCTCATATATAATAATTATCATACACCAGATGACTGGCGATCCCTTATACCACACGTGTTTATCACACACGTACAGGTAGACCTCAATATGATATTAACAATTTTTAAAAACATTTCGAGAACTAGAACTGGGTGGCAGTTATTGTTCAAATAAAAGTCGTTCAGAATTTCATCCTCTGTAACATATTTCAAAATCATCGAGATCAATCTGTCTTAAGCAATTTCTTTAAATTTTAATTTTTATAACAAAAAATAGCAAAACATTGCTTTTTCAAACCTCCAAATATTTATTCAAGATTTATATTTTTGACTGATGCTGAAATACAGCATATTTTGAAAAAAACTATAAAAAATAAAGAGATTCAGAGCAAATTTATTAATATAAACTTTTACCATAATTTTTACCAAAATTTCGATGATTTATGAATATGTTTTACACTTTTTTCTTTGCATATAATGGGTGGTCTGTCTTAGTTTTCGAAATATTTACAAAAAACTTTCGGCATTAAAACTGTACTCTACTCAACGTTTATGTTCGTGGCAATGTGTGTATCACTATAAACTTTCTACTTATCTACTGTTTCTATAAGCATTTTGTATAACGAGTAAACTCGACAAAAAAATACTTCATAGATTTGAACAGATTTTTTTCTAATATTTCTGTAATGTATAAAGAACTTTAAAAAATTTTGTAAAACTACATAAAGAAAAAGTAGTACCCCCTCGTGCTGAGCATTGTAGTTGTAAATAAAGTTTTGAAATTCTTTATACCTATAGGCAGATTGTATAATATTGAAAGTTTTTTGTAAATATCTCGAACACTAAGACCGACAATCCTTATTGTGCAAAGGAATTTTTTTAATTAAGCTGAATAATTTTGATTTATATTTAACTTAAAATTAGATTAGGTTAGGTTAATTTTTTGAGGTGACGATACATATTTAGCCCGTTTTTTTGCCTAATCGGTGAAATTTTTAAATAAAATATAATGTTTAGTATAAGTATTGAACTTCCGACAAGCATCAGTAGTGCTGTGAATGTGGTGCGCATCTATCATCTATCTTTGAGACTGTTTCATAGATACGTATGATGGGCAGAATTTAATAGTACTAAAGGATTTTTGCTAATATTTCAAAGACTAAGGTTAACTATCAATCATATATAGAAGAAAAAGTTGTTCATAATGTTGCTGGTTGCAAAAATTATCAGATTCTGTGGGAAATTGATACATTGATAAGTTTACCTCGAGTATCTCTATTTTATTAAGTTCAATAGCTTCAAGGGGGAAAAATACTCTGGATGAATTGAAAAAAATTATATTTTTTAAATGTTTTCTTAATGTTTGAGGTCAAGAATAACCCGATAAAATGTTAAAATGAAATTTGTAAAAATAAGGAAATTAGAGTAGTTTTATTATATTGTAGAATGATGGCAAAAGGCACCACTTGATTTTAGGATATTCATTCAAAAGTCTTTCTGATACAAAAATAATTATAATCATAAAACTGCATTACCAGTAGACATAATCACATGTATATATATCACATTTATTTACAAAAACTTAAGTGAATAAGAATTATTGATAAGATGTATAAATGAAAGTATGCAAAATAATGTGGCTAATTATGTGGGTACGGCTAAAGTGGTTTAATTGACAACTTATTTAGTTATAATTGTATTTAATAATGGTTACTTAGTTGTTATCAGTAATGGAAGTTTTTAACATCAAAATTGGATCATGGACAGCTTGCACATTTAGATAAATAAGATATAATTCTATAAATCATGTTTTTCAAACTAGGTGGATCAATAACTCAGTTAATTTTCACCCAAATTTACTTCAAATTTTGAGTGACAGTTTTTAATAATATTCTCTTTAGTTGCATGCATGAAATTTTAAAATCGATAATTAATTTTTACATAATATTGAAAAATTATCCAATTTCTACCCACATTTTTTAACCTTTTTTGTCATAGATTTGTCATTTTATAACAAATTATTATTTCTTTACATCCAAACATGCAACTGCAATATACTTTTATAGTTTAAAAAAATTTAATGATGTTTCATATCAAAAATTGTAATGAAAAGTTACATATCCATCTATTTTCAAAAAATTCCTTTTTTATTTTTCTCTAATGTTTACTATTTGCAAGCAAAAAACACTGGTCTAAATTATCACAAATATCTTATATATGGTAGCTAATGAAAGTATTTGAATGCTTAGATCTACAACCTTTAGCACATTAAACATTTATATTAAACTAAACTGTTTAAAATAATATGATATCTATAGCAAGGGGAATGTGTCAGTATTGTGTTAATAAAATTAGAAAATAATTCAACTATATGTACAATATAGAAAGACTTAATAAATATCAAATAATATATACAGGGTTCGAATACTTTTGTTATCCATTAATGGTACGTGTTTTTAATAAATATGTTGTAAATATTGTACGTATTGTTAAATTGTTTTATAATTTTACTAATACAATCCTAAGACCTTTATATGCTATAGAATCCATATTGTTTTAAACACTTTAGTTTAACATACATGTTTGATGTGCTAAAAGTTGTAGATCTAAGCATTCAAATATTTTTGTTAGTCACTGTATGTACTTACCTTTGTACGACATTAGAAAAATGCATTATACCTGATCAATCATCAGTAAATGGATTATTTATTTTTAATTGTTTCGCCAATATTTTAATATTATGTGATAATAGTTGCATAGTTATTGAAATGGCAAGAGAATTAAGAAAATTAAGATGTAAGATCATTATACAGGGTGTCCTAGCATAGGTATTACAAAATCGATTTTTTCGACAACAAAGCTTCACATGAAAAAATTTTATTTTTTATTTTCAATTTGTTTTTTCATGTAGAATCACCCCTTCCTCGGTTGTACTACCGATACCGGGACATCCTGTATATTTAAGTCATAATCTATTAGAAGTACATTTTCTTTTTACTTTATCATACACAGTGCTTTTGGAACATTTAAATATATACTTACTAGCAACATCAATAAATAATCCTATACTCCCAGCTTTCAAGGCTTTAGTGATTGAATTCTCTTTGTAGAAAAATCATTAAATAATAATGTTTTGTACAAAGAAGACTCAATCACTAAAGGTTTAAAAGTTGGAAGTACAGGATTATTTATTGATTTTGTTAGTAAATATATATTGTAAATATATGTAGGATATGATTAATTCTATCTTTACAATTATTTGCATTTATTTTTTAATGAAAGAAACTTTTTAATAAAGATAAGAATTTTGTATGTCCTAATAATTTGTCTTACAGTTGAAATAGATTACATTTATTATTATTACTGTATTGGGCTATTGTTTACTAATTTCAATACTAACAAGACAATTTTGATTTATTTAATAGTCGCCATAAACGCTAATTCAAAATTTCTTCAAAATTTGGATTCAACTCTCGTATTTTTTTTAATTTCGGAAGATTGTTATGTATTACTGATTTTTTTAAAATTTTTGATTTAAGAATATAAATCGCACTTAATTAATTTAGAATATAATCGCAAATTTAAAACAACAGAATTTTTTATATCTTGTTTCTTTACTTACTAAAGTATTAAAAATTGATTTCCTGAATAAATTTATTTTGTGATATTTCTTTATTTTTTTTCTTTTATACATAAAAAATATTTAAGATTAGCTTCTTTTCTCACAAAATTTATTAGAATATTTCATTATTAATTAAAAGATTAATTAACAAATTTGTAATAATAGTTTATTATTAAATAAATGTTCGTAAATTATAAAATTTGATTAAATACGAGATGTTAAAATATACATAGATATATGCGAAATGAAATTAATTGTTATTTCTAAATTTTATTACATATATTTTGTATTCAATACAAATTTAACATATACATAATATTATGTTATATATCTAAATATACTAATTCGATCACATTGCTAAGTCTTTAGTTTTTAAATTAATTTAAAAAATGTTTATATTACTTTATTTAATTTTTAGTCATTTCATGCTTAGAATGACTAGATGTGAAGTTAACTTATTTGGAACGTATCGTTGCTTATGTTACTTATTATATAAGTCTTTAAATATAATAATTATTTGATGTAAAACTTATAGAGTAGGAATGTACGTAGATGTAATACTACTTCTTAATAATGTATCTGAAGTTTGTGGCGTAGCAGATCCTTTACGAGAAGAACGTTTATGGGGGTGAAGGTTAAGAGGTGGTAAATTTGGATGTTCAATTCGTGTTGGTGAACTGACGCGTGGTCGCGATGTTCCTTTTTGTATACCTATAATTGAAATTAATTTAAATTAGGTACGTTAATAACATTCAAGAATAAAAATTTTAATAGCTATTAAAATATTGCCTGGATCGTTTGATTCCAAGACATTATTGAGCTGATAATAATCAGTCTTTATCAACGAAGGTTCTTCGTAATCTACGAACGCGGTATTATCAAAGGCTTTGTCGTCCTTCAACCGATTTTGAATTGGTGTAGTTATCGGTGGATCTGCATAAGTCTGAAAAATCAATAATCTGTCTTCAGATATTTTAAATGTTTCTCTACTTCATTCAAGGAATATACAATTAAGTTATTCTATAAATCTGTATAAATGGTAATACAATCTTTTGCTTTTTACACTAATCAATATGTTTGTTTCGGTTTTATCATTATTTAAAGTTAGAGTAATTTTTCGCTATAAATGATTTGTTTAAGGAAATTGTAATAATATTTTGTAAATTATTAGTGAATTAAAATATAATTACAAACGTATACAAACGTAATATCATTAAATTGCCTTAAGTTTTACATGTTCAGATGGCGTAGTGGAACAGGCACGCTTATGGAATTGTCCGCCACCGATTGTTTCGTAAGTATGTTCCTCTAAATAGTGTCTGGTAGTACCCCGTGGTGTTAGAGTTGCCCACATAACACGACTATCTTGTATAGTATCAGCTGCACAGGGGTAAAGAACAGCTTCATTTTGAATTCTTCCATTTTTTGTTTGTATACCAGATGTTGCATTTGGTATGGAAATTACGCCGCTTTTTCCACTTCTATTGCTATAAAATAATAATTGTTTATTTTTTATATGATTGTTTTTGTTATGAAATTTAGCCATTGGATATTCTATTCTATAAAATATAACATAAAAATTTACTTTTCATATGTATTTACATCTGGGACTCTTTTTACGATGGATGTGTATCGAGCAAAGAAAATTGTGTAAAAAGTAAAACATTTGATTCACAACAAAATATAAACCTTGTGTTAAACTATAGTAAATAATAGAAAAAGCAATTTAAAATTATATAAGTTTTTTATATAAATTTGTATCAAAATTATAAAGAAGTGCATTCGATAATTCGTTTCCTGATTTTAAAAATAAAAGTGAGTAAAAAGTGTTAAGAAAACTAAGCAAATATGAATAAAATTTGTAAAAAATCATTTGAGTAAAAAAATTATGTAAAAAGAGTCCCCGATGTACTTTGTACTTTTATCGTTTTCATTTTAACTACTTTCTGTGTTATTACTTTTACGAACTAAACGGGAGAAGAAAACTTACAATTTGCATTTCAAAAGCAATGTTGCCAGTATAATGCCTATGAAAATTACACCGATGCAAGAAGATATTAGGACCAGTAACCACGTGTCATCGAATACTGTCCCTAAAATTTTAATATGAAGATTGGTTCATTTACTCTTAAAACATATAACATCTATTATTTCGTTTCATCTCTTTTTTTTGTAGATAAAAAATATTTAAAATACAATAAAATAGTACTTTTTATTTTAAAATGAAGATACGAAACAAATTAATTTCATAGCATAAATAAATTGGTAAAACGATTGAACTATAAATTAATACTAAACCTTGTTGAGGCATTTCTATGTATTGAACTCCTTCGGAACGACGATCGCAGAAATGTTTACAAGGACTGTCGTTGAGATGAGGTGGAAACGATAACAAATCCGCATGTGGATAGAAATCGGAGCTTTGTTGAAGAATTGCTGGAAACGGCGGTGGCGGTATATGAAGGATATCAGGTGGTGGTTCGAGCGTACATGACGCACAACCCGAATTATTCATTGTTAAATCAAAACTTCTCATCTATTGTTAAGATTAAAAAAATATATAATCAGTAATTGTTAATTTTCATTGTATTATCAAACAAAAGTGAAAGTTATTTAAACCTTTCACTCTTTGTTTAACTAATTATACTTTAAATTTATTTAAAATAATCGCTCGACTTCCTTAATAAAATAAATGTTATTTTAAATATCCGTATATTTCTCCTGATCATTTTTCGACGAATGATCATATTTGATATTTATGAAATTATTATATTTTATTTACTCTGATTTTTTTATGATTAATTAACACTTTCAGCTTTTTGTGCTCTTTTTATAATATACTTAATTTAATAAAAAAATCTGATAAACAATAAAGACAGTATACTTTGCGTCGCCTCATATATTTTTAAGCACAAAATATGCAACATTAACACCGAAAAATACATTCTCACCGTTAAACAACACCCCTGTATGAGAGTTCCATTAGACCAACTACTGGCCTTTGTAGAAGAAAAGCGCACGCGTTGTCGTATTGAACGGCGGAGAAACAGTCTACTCTTTACAATTGTAATATAATAATATCAGTTCATTTATTCACACAATAATGATTTATATACGATAAATATAATTAAAAAAAAAAAAAAAATAAATATTATGAAATTTCGGTTTATATTCTATATCTTTAGAATATCGAGTTATTTAAAAATCATATTTACATTAATTTTATAACTTTTATTTTTAATTGTTCTAAAGTATTGATAAACTATGTTAAATGAATGAAACTAATTTATCAGTACTATAATTAATATAAGTATATATGTAATCAAACATTGGTAGCATGAAAATGACATTTACATTTCAATTTATATTCTGTAAATTGTAGTGAATAATCTAAATTAATTAAATCGATATGTCATAAAAATAAAATATGAATTTTACTAAAATGTAAATACATATTAAAGATGAAAAGCTGTGTAGTATTTAAAACGAGGATGAAGATAGTAAACGTATAAATTATTACTACAATGATCAATACACTAAACGTGAAAAATATCTTATCTATTTAAGCCTATAATTAAATAATTAATTGTAATTACATAATATATATTCATATTTAATATAATTTGTTTAAACAAATTTTTTGACTAATTATGTATATTTGTTAAATTAAAAAATAGAGTAATACTTAAACCACATGGTTCCGGTAATGCGCTGTGTGGGCAATATGTCAAAAAATTTTTGTTCGTAAAGGTGGTATTTATGTTTGATATCTAAAGTAATTTCAAGTTTGTTCGGATATATTTATTAATTATTTCTTTAATTAATTACATTTAGTGCTTAACAATCTATGGATGATAAAATTTTGTGTAACCTCTCTATCAATCAGTTACAGTTATGGAGATAAATCCGTTAAGTATAATTCTTGTGAAAAGTGATAGTAAAGGTGATAGACTTTTATTTCGATATCCACATGTAGCAAAATATATACGAGATTCTAATCAATGTACTAAAAGAAAAAATCCTTATTCCCTCACTATCACAGAAGATTTATTGCAGGTTACTTTCATGTAATATTATGCTTCATTTCTTTCACAGTAAATGTAATGCATTATTAAATAATATTATTGAATGACTAAAGTAATTGAATAGTATTTAATAAATTTTGTTAACAGTCTTTACCTTTTCCAATTTCTAATATAAGTAATGGAAATTTAACTGGAGTAACTGATGAAGTATTATCAACGTTGTTTGCTGTTAAACCAGAATTATGTGAACAAAAATTTGAATTAAAAGTGAATGATGTTCGTTTTGTTGGACATCCGACTTTAGTTCCATCTCATAGAATGAAGGAAGTTAATTCTTCGATGCTTTTTAATATAGTTTTTGCTCTTCAAGCACAAGCTAGTCATTCTATTGTAAAATGTTATTATGATTTGAGTAGAAGGTTTGTTACATTATATAATATAAATACTAATATATAAAAAGAGCAAAATCTTTTGTATTATTTATTTTAGATTAGGCATAGCTTTAAGACATGAAGAAAAGAGGTGTGGATTTTTAACAGAAGAAATAAAGATTATGGTATCTACTCATGATGAAGTTGCTACCAGGTATAGAGACTTATATACACATTTTTTTATTTTATACTACATTATTACTTAATTTTAGTACTGTCACAGTTAGATCATTTAGTGAATATGATTTATACTAGTAGAATATATAGAAAAATATCATCGAAATAATTTTTTAGAGATACAATGTCTTTGATTTTTTATTATGTGAAGAGATCTATCTCTTCTTTTCAATTTCAAAAAAATAATGATTACAATTTTTCATACCTGTTTACAGATCAGAAGGCGAAAGTGATTGTGATGAATCACCATATGAATTAATATTGCAGAGAAGTTCACTTGCACGTGATTTAAAGTCTGTGTTCAGTAGTCTCACTACCTCTGGTATAATTAATATTATGATTAATAAATGGATTCAAGTACGTTTCTGTCTTCCACAAAAGGTTCATCAATCTCACAAAAAAGGACTTATCATTAATCCAGAAATAATAGACAGGTTCATGTTATATATAATGTTAATTATTGTAAATTAAAGTGAATAGTAAACATTAAATTTTATTGCAGATGTTTAAACAGTTTAAGACCTTATCATGGTATATTGTTACTTATTGAACTGTCAGATTTACTGGATTCACTGCCAATAGATTCTTCTCCAGCACTTAAACGTCTAATTCAAATGTATAGCCCTTTGAAAAGTTTACAAACTTTAGCTGCTGATTCTGATTTAACACTAACTCAGGTTTTTCAATTAACTGGACACTTAATATACTGGGCTAAAGCTACTATAATTTATCCTCTTTGCGAAAGCAATGTTTATGTTGTATCGCCAGATGCTTTCATTACAAATCAATTACTAGAAGTATTTTCTGAAGAATTTCCAGGACTTTGCTTATTACAAGTATGTACAATAATTATTTATATTATTTAGAATCAAAATGTCAAAATATCAATTGATATAGATGTAAAACTAAATTTCCACTACTGTAGGTTCTCAGTGATTTTTCATTACCGACATCCATTAGTCAAAAATTAAATCCCTTGAGTCAATCACAACAACAGACACAGTTAGTAAAAATAATAATATGGTTATTAAAGAATCATTTACTTTTACAATTACATACATATGTACAATATATGCCAACTGTATATGGTCGAGTATCGTTGGTAAGTTTATAGAATATTTTAAAGAATAATTTTAAAATATATATTAATCTATTATGTATTTCTAAAAGGATACAAAAGATGAATTGAATCATAATTTAAATGAAATCACAGAAAATAGTAATGTATGGAACTTGAGTGATATTTCAAAAGGTACTACAACTGATATAAACGAAGAACTAACAATGACACTTTGTAAAGAAAATGGAATATATAATTATCAATCAGAAGATTATGATATTCCTTCTGATGATAGAAAATTACTAGATAGACTGTGCCGTCTTGGTTACTTTAACGGAGACCATCATTTAGAAGAAATTATGTATTTAGAAAATATTCGAAGGTCTCAGTTATTGCAAATTTTAGATAAATTTCGAGACATATTGATTACCTGTGAATGTGAAGACCCTGCTATAGCTCTTTTCTATAGCCAGTTTGCCTCTTAATATCCTAACGTTGAGTAAATACAAAATATATTAAATTGTATGTAAATTATATTCTGCAAATATTTCTAGTTAGAAAGTTATAATATATTTAAATATATAACAATAATATTGTACCATATCTAAAAAATTCAATTTTAAAGCGTTATTTTAAATGTTTTCTTTTATTCTATATTATTAAAACATTTATTATAAAAAACCTTCATAATTTATGTGAAAAATATTGATTAATTAGTTACATATTACATATATGACAACATATTAGTTAATTAAGAAATATTATCAATGTATCCCTCGTCCTTCGATTTCGATGATTTTTAAATGCATTAGAATATAGAAATGAAGAATATACTTCCAAAAAGCATCAGTGACCAATTGGTATCAAATATTAGGAAGAAGGACAGAGAAGATCATAAATGTAAAATATAAGTTTCAGATATTTAATAATTTCTGAGATATTAACGAAAAACGTTTGATATTATACATCGAAATTTGTATATACAGATGTTACTAATTTGATCGTTTTTTCTAATAGTAGTAACCACCGCTGAATAATTGTGACGCATAATGTTGTCCAGTCTCAGTTTCTATAAAGTATCCCATTCAAAATTTGCTCGCCTTTTTTTCAAGTTGCATTACATTTTAATATTTTAGATCAAAATTATTTTACTTAAAAAACTACAAACTGAATTATTTGTAATTTTTTAATATTAGAAATTATCTTTACTTCAGTTAAGTTAAATAAAGCAAAGAAATAATCATTTACGTAGATCAAATTTTCATAAAAAAAAATATTTTCATTTGATTAAGTTTTAATAGTGAAAAGTTGATTATCTAGTCATTGCATATCAATTGGAAGAAAGAATATAAAGCATATATTTTATTCAGAATTATTGTTTTAATTAATTATTTGATAGCAATTTATATTAAAATGAACAAGTATTATAGAAGTATAGAACTCTATACTTTGTAATTATTACATTTTATATATGATTTTATAGTTACATGTAGTTTTAATTTAAACCTATTAATATTGTAATTTTATTTTATACCGAATTTAAACTAAATTAGTAAGAGAATTCTGAAACTACCAGGATGTGGAACAACAAATGCATTGTGTAATAGGCCTATTCTATACATCATCTGTGATGATAGGTCTATTTCGGTATCTTATTTACGCTTATATCATAGAATATAATTATTTACAATGGATTAAATTAGTATTTATAAATTAAATACAAAAAGTACATATTTTATGTAATGTATGGAATGATTTTAGAATTTTTAAGTACTTCTTATATAGATGCTGTTTAAATATTTACAATATAATGATAATTAATTATAATAATAATAAACTTTGATAAACATTGTTCCTTAGTGATTAATAAAATTTATAAATCTATCGTATATTGTCAATTAGTAAGATTAATGTATGTAATATTAATTTAAACTGGAATACATAAAAATTGTTTATATTACAAATCCATAAATATTTATGAACAAAAAACATTACAGAAATATATGTTAACAACAATACAGAAATTTATCTCGTTTTATATATTTTTATTTTGATCTAACATTATATATGTTATCATAGTTTATCTCTTGAATAATTCTGCATCCTTTTCAGTTTTTTTAAAGCACATTTTGCTGCAGTACATTTTGCAATTCTGTAATTTCTTCCAATTCCTTTAAAAGAGCCTTTACCAAAAACATCCACTGTAACTCTAACTCTTCGTCCATCAGCTAACTTTTCTGGTTTTCCAAATTTTGCTGTTTCAGGTTCCAATTCTAATAATTCACGAATTGGCGATTTTGGTACATTGGTACTGAATTGTTCTAAAATAATAAAATGTGTTTGTATTTTTCATGAAATTTACATATAATTAAAAAAAAATCATTACCAATTTCATTTTTCATAATGGCATAATAGACACTCCATACTGCATCCAAAGACATACCACTATCTAAATAAATTGCACCAGCTAATGATTCGAAAACATCACCTAATGCTTTTGGTACCTCTACATCTTCAGCTTCTTCACATTCTTCTTCGCCAATTAAATAATACTAAAATGAAATAATGATATTATGATAATAATAATGATGATGATGGTGATGATGTGAGTAATTGCAAGTAAAATGCAAGTAATTTTGTTTAAAGTTCTTTACTTCTTCACTAATGGAATGTCCGTTTTCTTCTTGAATTCTAACAAAGCGATTTATAACAATACTTAGACCAGGCGAAAGATGTCGAAAATATTTATGAAATCCACATCTCACAGCTAATGAAGCAAATATAGTATTATTAACTAAAGCTGATCGTAAATCCGTTAAAGCACCTGGAGAATGTTGTCGAGCATCTTCATATAAGTGTCTCGTTATTAAATAATCTAAAATTATTAATTTATATATTAAATATTAAAATCACAGAAAATTATAATATAATGAAATATAAATATTTAATTATTACCTAAAACTGCATCTCCAAGAAACTCTAAACGTTGGTAACAATCTGTTAATCTATTAGGTTGATATGAGGCATGGGTAAACGCCTGTAGTAAATAACTAATATCATGAAACTTATATCCTATACTTTTTTCTAATTCTTCATAACCATCAAGCATCATTCTTAATTCTTGTTCTGGATCCGGAATGTATCGAAGTAAAGGATTCTGTGGTTCTTCCAACTTTCCATAACAAATCTGTAAAATAACTGATTTTAAAATACTCATTCTTGGCTATAAATCAATCATAGGTACCTGTGTCCACACTGTTTGACCCTTTTCATTTAATGCTTTTATGTACGGAGTACTACCTGGTATTCTTTCTTTTGGTTCTGTTTCTTGTACAATACTAATTTCTTCTGTAGGTAAAACATGAATCCCTAACCATGCCATGAAAAGTAATGCACCTCTAGGTCCACAAGCAATTAAATAAGCTCCAATTAATGCCTCCACGCAATCTGCAATACTTTTGTCAGGAATGCTATGTTGAGTAATTAAATTGTATGGTATAAAACAACACATATTATCTAAATTATTTGGAAGCATATCATTGCGATTTAGCTCATTTTTCATAACACCTAATTTTTGTTCAGTTTCTCGAACAAGTTGAGTTATTTCTGAAGAATTTACAGCTTGTAATGCTGGTATGTCAGCTTGATTCCATAAAGTCGAAGGTACACCAGATTCAATTAATGCTTGTTCAAGTTCTTTAGGAACATAATAACAAGGAGGTAACCAATTGTCATGGGGTTCAAACTTTGTTGCTATCATGCTTTCACCTAACATTTTTTGCCTTCCCAATCTATATAGATTTAAATTACTGACCTAAAAAATTTTATGTTGAAATAAAATATTGTAGTTAGAAAACTAAGTATTTCAAATTTTGTTGTACCTGTTTAGATCTTAAATGACTGAGTTTGCCTTCGTGTATATTATCATATGTACAATATAAATAAGTAGTTATAGCATATTTTAAGAATGAATCTCCAATTGTTTCTAAACGTTCTAAGTTAATACCGTCATTTGCATTAGACATAGTTAATGCTTGTAAAATTAAACTGGGACTTGGCCCTGGATGATTTTCTAATTTTGGTTGAAAATCAAAGCTGAAGAGATTGTTATCTGAATGATATGTAAATTTCGGTATATTCGAGTTTTTTTTTATTGGTTGAATAATATCTTTCTTATTTAATATTTCCTTAGTGAATTTATCAACTACATTTTCTATATAAGTTTTATGTCTATAATCTGACAAATTTTCATCAGGCTGTAAGCTGACTGAAGTTTTTCTTTTAATTACAATCTCGTTATCGCAGGGTATAAAATATTCACTTTGCATTATGTCAAATTCTCTTATTTTAGCAAATTCATAATGAGCTTGTTTATGTTTTGAAATTGAAGAGTTCTCACTCTCTTCTACATATGACCATAAAATGTCATCCAAATTTTTTTCACTTTCTAATAAATCCAAGATTTTTTTATTAATTTCTTGTTTAGATATTTGTTTTTCATCTTCTACAGCTTCTGCAACGTTTTCTCCCATATAAGAAATTCGTAGTCCTCTGTTTTCATCTTCACTTTCATCAGATGTATCAACAAATCCATCACTATAAATATCATCTGATTCATAACCATCAAAATCTGATTCACATGCAGGTGATCCATATCGAATATCACTCCAATTAAAATCATTTGGCAAAACTGTTACGTTTAGAGGAAATGATTTTAAGTTATTTATTTCAAAATCCAAAGAATTCATTGCCATGTCACTTGACCAAGTACCAATTTCTAATTCATTTTCATCATTTAATACTTGTTGGTTTGTTTCCATTATTATATTACTTTTTAATTCGCAATTATCTTCATTTAAGTCTTCTTTACCCGATTTATGTAAATTGTCTACTATGTCTTTAGATTGATTATTTGTAGAATTTAATTCAATAGTATCATTTCTAGCTAATTTTGTTTTTTCAGATTCTTTAGATTTTTTTAAAACCTCTGCTAAGCTCCATCCAAAATCTAATGCTGGCCACCTAAAATCTAAAATACTTTCATATTAAAATCGATAAGAAAGTGCAAATAAATCTTATTATTTTATACATACCAGAACTTAAAGTTTCTTGACCTAGATTTATCATTTGTGCAACTTGACATCGTATTTGATTAGCAAGTAATAAAGCATTGATTCTATACAAAATACAAGGTAAACAAACTGCTTGTCTCCACAGTGAAGCTGGAAATGGGTGAATAGTGCATAATTCGGCAACAAGAATTTGTTTTTGTTCCAGATTTTCTCGTTTTGCTCGTTTTGTTTCTTCACTACTTGTTGGTAAAGCAACGCCTTTTCGATTAACGTATCTAAAGTAAAATTTTTGATACAAATATATAAATATGATAGCACAATTGAGGACGTTTCCATTCATAGGAATTAAGGGTCCTTTTTCGATAAATCGTTTTTTAATTAAGAAACAAATGTCTGCAAATATTCTGCTAAAATTTTATTTCAATATACCAACAATTAAAATAAATACAATACTTTTTGTTTATTCATATACGGTTGTTCTCCGCTGCTAGATCGGTAATCGTGCAACAATTAAAAACATTAAATTTAAAAAAAAGAAACAGATATTCACAATTTATGCAAATATTTAAATGACGAAAGTTGCCAATGATAAGATAGAATGTTTAAGAAAAGTAATAAATCACAATAAGAATTTGAATATTCAAAGTGTTAAGATGTTTAAAAAATAATATTTTGTCTCATTATGTATTTTCCTCAAATAGTCAATTATTATACAGTGTTTATTTAATTTCTAAATGTGAAGTATAAATATGCATATTTCTAGCATAATCATTATTTAATTATTTTTATAAAATTATTCAAATGTATTAGTTTATCTTCAAGATGGTGTTATTAAATTATTATAATAAATTTATATTTTACACCTTCCAGGATCGACAGTATTCATTACAATCCACCTAATTAACAATTTGATTATAATTATATATATATTGAGAAGCAAAAATTAAAACTTCTAACACTACTTATTCAATTCGTTATTTTAGCTTACTGGCACTTCTTTCGAAAACGTCCTCAATTATAAACACAATTACATATTTTTAACAATATTTACCTTGGTGTTAAAAAGTTTAATCTTGCTGATGTGTGATCCACATCCAATAAAGGCTGATCTAAATTTTGTATCTGTATATCGTATTTTTTAAGATAATATTCTTCGAAAGTACTATAACCATCACCAGGGAAAGAAGATTTTGGATTTAAATTTGTACAGATTTCAGCAACATAAAAATACTAAAACAAGTGAATGCATTTAATGTATTTTAATCATAATATTTTTTCATTTACAAATTAAACCTTTATGTAAATACCTGAGGTTGATCCTGACTTCTATACCAAGGCATAATTACTGCATCATGGTATTTTGATGCATCAAACTTGAAGTTCTTTCTAACTTCTTCAGAAATTTTAGTAGGTCCTGAATTTCGATTCTTATATATACATTCCAAAAAGTTCCAGTCTACAATGACATCAGACTTCTCATCTGTAGAAAATACATTTCCATATATATATAACAACAAATATAATTTAAATAATAATTTTTGTTTTTAAAAACATTTTCAGTTACCTAATTTCACAGGTACAATCATGTATGAGTTCTCTGAAGCATTAGGATCAAAAAGCATTAAATATTGTTGTAATCTTAATACATTTGTAAAAGTATAATTAAGAAAGGCTGCAATTTTTTCTATTTGTATTTCATTTAAAATTACAGTTTGTTTACTAAGTTTTAACTTTACATGAACTTCTCCAGATCTGGTATAGATAGGAAATGGACATAACTAAAGTAAGGAGTTAAATGTTAATTATTTTTACTCATGATTAATATTATACTATAATCAATTTATATATTTTAGTTATTACTTTAGGAATTTCTTTTAATGTTATTATGCCAAAACCAATAGCTGATTCTTCGGGAGGATATATACGTCGACCTCTGGTATTTTGTTCTTCAGGTAAAGGGCAACTCAAAACCAAATTAATATGGTATAAATAAGACGGAATTCCAATTATTGGTCTACAATCTGTTAATGTTTCAGCTGTCTATGAAATATAATTTAATATTAGGAATGAGAATAAAATATGTTATAATATTTATTTTTAAGGAGTAAAACCTTTTTATAATAATATTGTCTTCGTTTGGTTGTTCCTGGTCGAGCTTCGGAAAAATCTACTTTACTTTCATCTGGTAGTGCAGGTACTTCTGCATCTTCTGGTTTAGCTTTAAAATTTTCCTTTCCAATCGGTAATAAATTATCATCTATTTCGTTCTTTCTGTGTAAATCAATACATAACTGTAAAGCAGCCATTCGTCTTGCCATAGCTTTGTTAGGCATAGGGAATGACTAGAATAATAATATTTTTCATAGTAATTTACAATAATTCACATTGAAAAAATTTAATAGTAAATCTTTAGATATAAGAAATAAAAATATTTACCGATACAACGTATTTTACCGGAGAATTTATGGGAAGTCGTAAAGAACATATGTACATAAGTGTATTATCAATATTCATTTTATGAATGACCCATTCTGGAGTTAATCTTGTAAATATATCACTGGGTAATTTTGCACAGTATCTATACAAGCAAAATTTTGTAACATAAGATAATTTTTTAAATCGTAATTATAAAATATTTGGAATGTTATTAATGCTTTTTATTTATCATAGTATAGTACCTGTTTACTAATGATATAGCAGAATTAAAAGTAACTTTAGGTGTATCATCTCCATCAAGTGGTTTATAATGTGGTATCATACCAGCATACAAATCTGCTTCGTTTTCTTCTTCTTCAGACGGTTCGTTATTAGAACATTTTACTAACAAACTCTACAAAATAGATTGATGCTCTTCCATTAAAATTTTCGACTGGGATGGACACAGGTAATGAACCATATTAAAACTGGTACACACTGAAGTTCATGAATAAATTAAATCGAGTAGACAATATAGATACTAATCAACAACAGATCCAGTTCATATATTTCATTAAATTTTACCATAACAAATAATAAAAGTGATTAAAAAGAATAGTATACCATAATTCGATACCTTTTCTATATAATGATATTGAGCTAATTGCCATACATACTCCCTCGATGTTTCTTGTGGTACCAATAATACATACAAGGCATCTGTAGCTCTGGCACGACTCCTACATTGTACATAGGACTGATAAGTCTTAGGAAAATCATATCTCATTACAAAGTTGCATTTTGGAATATCTATACCTACCAAATATAAAGTAATATTAGTACAAAATATTAAATAATTAAAATAAATTATTTAATAATGATAAAAACAATTAATGACAAACCTTCTTCTAAAATTGAAGTTGAAATTAATAAATTACATTCGTGTATTCTAAATCTTTTTAAAACTTCTTCTTGTTTTTTATGTTCTATTCCTAAATCTCTTGAATAACCAATGTCATCGATATTCCTTTCGATCATATAAAGAGGTGACAAAAAATGTAAATCTTCGTCATGCATAGATATTTCGTTTAATAAATAAAATAACACCTTTGCTACAAATGCCTTATCCACAAAAATCACACCACAAAGCAAATCAGGATCCATAACACCACGCATATGTTGTGCTCTAGATGGTTCTTTACAATTTTCTTCATTATTTTGCCAATTACAATCCAATTTTTTAAATTGAACAAATTTATCTTTCATAAAGCCTTCTCTATTGTTGGTTGATAGTTTTTGAGAAATATTTTCATTGTTTATTTTATCATTACTATTATTAATATTCTTAGTATAATATGGTGTATATGTTTTCAAAATTTGTAATAATCGATGAACTTTTGGAGTGCTATATTTAAATATTCTTTCTCTTTCAGATAAAACTTCAAATGCGCTATCACATAAAGCTCGTATCTTTGTAAAAACAGATGCCACCATATTTAATAACAAGTAATGTCTTTCATAAGGTGTTTTTATTTTTAATTTTTCTGTTAAAATTAAAAGAGCAAGTGCAGCACGATCTGCACACCATGGTCCAAGAGAGTCTAATATGTATAAAAAATCTTGCATCATCTCAAATGGTTTTTCTGTAGGATCTGGTATTTTTTGAATATCTTCATAAAACTCCTCATTGTAAATCTCAGTTGGGTCATGACGATGATCGCGTAAAAAATCAATAGCATGCAATATATAATTTTCAATAGTAGTATGTAATTCTCCTTTTTCACTTTTAGTATATTCTACTACATATTCTTTAGGTTTAGGGCTATACCTATTCAAAAAATTACTAATAAATAAATATATTATATACTAAAATATACAGGAAGAATCATGCAAATTAAATAACATGTATTTTTTATTTAGTTAGTAATAGAAAAAATTATGAAGTAAAAAGTTAGGTAGTATAAGATCTATTACCCTATGATTTCATTCCCTCCATAACTGCTAGTACATATATATGCATGCAAACACATGCATATACATTATATTTTTTTCTATATCTTACTCTAACTACATGATTCAGCTTGTATACTAAAATATATTTACCGCAATATAGATAATATATCACTAGCTGTTTCAACTTCACACTGAAATGTATTTTCTACTTTTTCTATTTCCAAACCTAATCTTCCAGGTTCTTGTGTTAAATTAAACAATGGTACAGCTAGTCCAATAATTCTAGCAACATTTTCACATGATAAAATAGTTTGTAAAATAAATTTTAGTTTGTTATTGTCTACTGATTTATGGCACTCATCAACTATGACTAGATTTATCTGATGTGGTAAAATTTTTTTATCAGTTAATAATTGTGCACATGTCTCAAAAGTTGTTACTAGTACCTAAAAAAAATTAATATGAATAAAAGAAACATATATAATAATGTGATAAACAATCATATATAATACAATATTAATAAAATTATTAACTAGCAATTTCTTAATAATGTATTAGTTATATATATATGATATTTTCCTATCATATGAAATGTATTATATTGAAATATTAATTATATCTTACATGAGAAATTTCAAATTTTTCTATAAATTCTGCAAGGGAACAAGTGTCACATAATAATACTTTTAAATCTGTTAATTGCTGAATATAACTTGCTTTTATTATACATTTTTCCTCATCTTTCAATATATACAACGATCGTTTTCCTCCCTTACTTAATAATCTAAATTAACATATAATAATTTTAAAAAAATATTTAATAAAATAATGCATAAGTATTTTATAAAACTATATAATATTACCTTCTATTATTTGTAGCAAATTCTTGAATTAATTTTATAACAATAAAAGTTTGTTCATAATTTTTTCCTAAGCAAACGATAATATCTTTTTCCTTAGCAGCATAAAATAACTCTACCTGTAACAACAATATTTATTTTAAATATTGCAAGCAGCAATATACTTTCTTAAACCTTTTTAAATAATTTAGAAAATTCTTACTTGGTATTCTCTAGGTGTAAAAGATTTTGTATAAATTTGATCGTTCAGTGGAAATGCCATGGAATCTTTAAATTCTGTTATCTTGATAGGATAAAATTATTATTTTTAACTATAATAAAAATTCGATTATATTTTTAAGTTTTATTATTTAGCTATTAATTAAATTCTAATTTAAGGTTAGATTAAGACGACAACAGTTAAAAAGTATCATACAATAGTATTCCACATTTTACGCACACCACACATGTATACACGCATGAGCGCTCATGAGCATGCACAGCAAGTAAACACAAATAGAAATTTCATTGGTTGATGGAGTTTTATTAAAAAAACTTCTACTGTTTTAATAAATATTATATAAATTTATACATTTTTATGAAAATGCAACTAGTATACATATTTCAATTAAAGCATTTATTTTTGTACCATTATAATGTTTTTTTTTAATTTTTTACATTGTGTTAAATAATATTTAAAACGAAAGATAAATTACAGGAATAGAATATATTAGACGGCAATCGATGAATCGTTACTTATAATTTTGAAATTAAATCGATTAGTCGTTTCGTTATCGAGCTATCGATAATGACATAAACTCTTTTAATAACTTCAAGATAAAGATTCCTTTTAACCGTTATTGCATTGTGGGTAAGTGTACCTTATTGTGTTGTCGCTTCTTGTTATATTAAATGTCGCTATACAATTGAATTATTGAAGTATAATATTTCTGTAATTGTATTTCTATTATTTGATATTATATAAAATGTTTCTCCAAAAAGAAAATTAATTATTTTAAAATCACATATGTTTTTCTACTAACACGTGCCAATGTTAATTATTTATTTATTATATTTTCTTTTACCCAATTTCTTTATATAAAGTATATCATTATTACAAACATTTATCTTTATTTAAATAAGTATTATATTTTTTTAATTGTAATTGAATTGCATATATAGATACAATTATAATTAGTTATAATTAAATTAATTATAAAATGAAATTTTATGCTAAATAAATATCTTATATGTTTTAACGATACTTTTTAACGATATTTAATTAATACCCTTATATATAGAGCAAACATGCAGTTACATATCAAAGGTACACATACGACTGTGGTCGAGTCACAAGAGAATGAAAGTATTGCAGATTTAAAGGTATGATAAAATCGATATTAATATTACTTCAATTACTCTATTGTGATGTCATTTCTCATAATTATTTTTTTAAAATAATTTTATTATTTTTTCTAATAAAGATTTTTTGTATATGAAAAAAATGTTTTGTATATGTTTATATAATTTGAATAATTAAATATTTATAAGTTTGCTTGTTATAAATAATTATTAAAATTTCTATTGTTACTTTGATTTATGTTCATATTTATTTAGTTATTGCGTCATAATGATAATCCAAAATATAAATGTTTTATATCTTTGGAAAGAGCAATGACGCAACATTAAATGACGAATTTATGAGTTGGTGATCAAATAAATTTTGATAGGTCATCATTCACAACTGCTTGTCAACATTTAATCTATAACTGAAGGAGTCATATCAATATATAAGATAAAAAATATAGTTTACAATATAGATATGAAACATTATTTTATGAGAATGATAGATTAAATTCTAAAATTTTTAGAAGATAATAGTAAGATAACAATAACTAAAATTTTTTATAATTTTTTCTTTCTTTCCTTTTTAGAAAAGAATTGTGGAAGCAGAGGGTGCTGCAAATACAGAATTTAATTTATATTGTTCTGGTCTTTTATTACAAAATGACACTTTAGTTGGAAACCTTACATCAAACGTTTTAGAATTAACAGTTTCTCTTCTTGGTGGTAAGTTTTCAAAATTAAGTAAATTTATATTTTTAGATTTTATTTGAATATTCTTCATTTTTTAGATTTATTACTTATATTCTTTGATATTTATAATTTCTTCATTTATTTAATATTACGCATAAATAGGACTTGTTTATGTATAATGATAATTGAATATTATTTTATCTTTCAAGGTAAGGTGCATGGGTCCTTAGCTCGTGCAGGAAAAGTTAAAGCTCAAACACCAAAGGTAATGAAATTATATTATTTATAATTTTAAAAAAGTGAATACTTTGAATAATTGTATTAAGTTTTAAAACGAACTTGAATGATTTCTTGCTAGTCACTTAGTGAAAAGAATTTATTAATTTTATTAGCTACTAATTTATTAAAGAATTTTTTATTGTTTCATTGTTTTGATTTTTACCATTTTATGTATAATAGTGTTTCTATAGTAACCGAGTCCGCATTCCGTTTATTATCGAGAGAGGAAGGTGTTTTGAGAATTGTCGACGTTTTATGTGATCCTCTAGATTGTCAATGTACTAGCTTTTTATATCTTCGCTGAAGTCAGTAAAATATATAATACAACACATGACGTGCTTCTTATAAAATGAACTTTTATAACATTCTTAATTTCATTTTTTCGTATGTGAAAAATTGTTTGATATATTATTAAGAGTTACACAATTAAAGTAAGATCAAAGATAATATACTTTATACTATATTTAGTCAATTAATATTGATTAAGGGTGCAAAACACAGCTTATGCGTTTCAAATGTATGTCCTGTTCATATTGAAGATCATTCTGATATTCTCTCTGGATGATTTCTTCTTCAGAAAAGTCTACAAAATACGATATCGTATAACAAATTCGTGCTAGATAAAGAACTTTTATATAGTAGCTGGAAAAAGAATTTTTTGTAATAGTAAAAGAATAGTGCGTAGAAAGTACGCTCGGCGTACTTTATTTTTAAACTTTGTTGGTAAATTGCAATTATTCACAAACATAAATAATCATAATTGTAGATATCGAGAAACTCTCATCTAATTTTTAAGATAAGAATATCCTAACATTTTTAGTTTTCGTCTAATATATTTTGGTTTATTAATCGATTTCAATATAACTAAAAATAATAAAGTAAAATTTATGATACTTTTGAAACATTTTTCATTTAAATATTTTATGTTCCGCCGGCGTCTATTGTTTTCGCACCATCTTACACGGTTTCAATATGTCGTATCATTTAGTCTCTTCGTCACACAATTTAACTTGTATCTCTCGTTGTTTTGTCCGATAATACACCGAAACTGAAAATATGTGTGAAAGAAAGCATGCCCTTTGTACTCTGATCAATTCGATCCGCATCTTTTTTACGGGACTGCTTGTGTGTAGAAGTGGGAAATACTCGGAAAAAGTGAACCGAATTTTATTTTCATTGTTTTGAGATGCTTAATTATTTTTAACTGCTTAAAAAAATCAAATAGCTTGAGTTGTTGCGATTCGAAAGAATCTATCTTTTCGACTTATGCTAAATAATTTGAACGGAAAGCGAGCTTCGGCTTGTTTCAAATATCAAACTATATACTTGAGTATTCGTGTATGGTCGCATCTCTTACTTGTGAACCACAAGAAGTATATACATAGCTGGCAGAAATTTATATAATTTAATCTTTGTTGCTATTATCTACTGGATGATGTTTATTTACTACTACAGCGAAAATTGATTGTATTAGTAACACGTATGAGTAAAAAATGGTCTCTTTATTGACAAATATAATGTAATCTACGTATACAGTTAACGACTAAGTCCGAACACGGTCATATATGGAAGAAATATATTTATCTGAATCGAGTAATAAATTCTTGCTAATTCAAGCAGTCGGGAAACATTTACTTTTAATGACTTCACTCTAAATTAGTTTATTTCTTCCGGTTTTTAAAACAATCAAAAAACTAGTAAAAGTATTGTAAAAGTATTGTTTCTTAAAGATTCGCCGTTCTATATTTCTTTTTAATATTAAAATGTTTTTTTCTTTTAATCGGAAAAAAATAAATTGGTTTAGGACAAAGTTACTAAAGTAAACTTTCATCGATTTTTCAAATTAATCCATAAAATTCCCCCTATGCAGGTTGATCTTTTGTATGGTTTTAGAATATTTTAATTAAAAAACGTAAATTACATGAAATTATTAGACAAAACTGTGACTTCTTTCTTCAAAAGTTTTAAAATATACATTGGATATATAATAATATTTATTAGATATTTTGTAAACAAATGTAAATTACATTAGTTTTCTTTTGTGTTTTGTGAATTTCATTAATTTTATTTCAAGTATTCTTTTTCATTAAAAGGTGGAAAAACAAGAGAAGAGTAAGAAGAAAACTGGTCGAGCTAAAAGGCGAATTCAATATAATCGAAGATTCGTCAATGTAGTTCAGACGTACAGTCGCCGACGTGGACCGAATGCTAACTCAAATTCATAATTGCATCTCAATGCATATATACATTGTATGATTATGAAAATAAAATAATAAGTTAAATACAAGGAGTTCCTTAATTATTTTTGATAATTATTTACAAAGTCGACGATATTTTCAATTCTGATAATTTATAAATATGTTGTAGAAATTAATATTGTGAGAACTTCTTTTTTGTATAGAAAAATTTTTGTTTCTTCGAGTTTTTGGTTCATGGAATATAATTCGCTTTATTTTTTCTGAACTTTCTAACATCATTATACAAACGCGTATATACATGCACGCTGAATTTTATGTAGTAGTAAGAATGAAATTTTGAAAATAAGTTGGAAATAAAAGTCAACCCAATAATATTGTACAGGAAAAAGTTGTTTAAAATTTAGCGCTTTTTAGCATATTCCAAGATTATTAAAATCGGGAAGGACCCAGTCAATTTAGAACTTCAAGTCTAATTTATTTCTAAACAAAAAGTCATAACATTATTTCGTATATTAGTAATTATTTACTTGAGTGGCTTTGCCCTAGATCTGCTTATATCTTTTCGTTTTCTTGTAAAAATGGCTTTATTTTGAGATTAATAAGGAATATAGATCGAAAGAAATTGAAAGAGTACTTTTGCCACTTTTTCGACAGAAACGTAAAATTTAAGGAAACTAGAATGCGTGGGCTAATTTCGATGATTTTTAAGTATGTTATAGAAGATGAGATTCTGAACACTAATAGTCATCCGGCCTTAGTTTTTCGAGATAATTGTGAAAATTGTTGGTACAACATAATTCAAAATCATTATAATTGACCCATGAATTTTATAAATTTTCAAATTCTGGATAGCAAAAACACATTACTTTTTTAAGCTCCTCCGATTCCTATTTCTTATTGATGTTAAAATAGAGCATTTTTTGCAAAAAAAGAAAAAAATAAGCAGATTCAATGCAAAGCCGCTAAAGTAAATAATTACCCGTTTGTTTACCACTAATTATTATGTTTTTTCATAGAATTAATTTTATTGTTATATGAAGTAATACTTATTTACAAATTTACAATTTAAATTTATTTCAAAATACCAATGCTATAATAAATAAAATACAATACAGAAAATATATACATTAATATCATCCATTCTAAAATTATTAATTACAATAATTATATTATATGGTTATAATAATAATTTGCGATCAAATTGTACTCTTAAAACATATTTAATTTCATACTTATGTAATCAGTGAAATTATATAATATATTATTATTTAATGTTTTTACATTTTCTGAAATTAACGTTAAACTTACCACAGCTCAAATGATTATTTTTAAACTTTTGATTCAAAATTCTGCATTCAATGTTATCGCTGTGATCACTTGACTGCACGATTTTTCTTCTAATATACATAAATTAATTGTTTGATATTTCCTCTGATTCCATTTTTTTTAAATTCTTCGTTTCTTTTTTTATCCATTAGTCATTTGATAGTGGTATGTTTAGTATTAGGTGTATATTAAAGTGACATAAATTATTAAAATTAAAATGGTAAAAATTTCTACATAATCTTAAATTTACGATAAAATTATCAAAGTACTATTTCCTCATCGATCTCGATGGGCTTGAAATATGTTATAAAAAAGGTTATTCTGAACAACCTTTCTCTCTCAAACAATTAATAAGGGAAGATTGTTACTAATGTATTGAAGTTTGCCTTTGTGTGTATTCGTGAGGCGAACAGACCACTTATACGTTAAATATGCGTCAGATCAAATTGCATAAACCATTAACAACTACCTATCGGCAAATTATTTAAATATAAAAAAATGATTAATAGCATCTACATAGAAAATGATGAATAACTTAATCTTCTTGATAAATTGGAATTCAATATCGATCTTTTTTCACGCGATAATAAAGTTAGTGCTTCGGGCTGCAAGCACCCCACGGTTCGGAAACAAGAAATACTTAAATCCTATTTTATTTTAAAAAATTTTTCTACTGTTAATTATTACTTATTTGTCATTCCTTTGAAGAATAGCCGGTATAATCAAACCGTCGATAAGTATATATCGATGTTCCTTATGATTTTATCCGACGTGTAACTAGTATACAGACTATATCTTGCCTTATAAATATCAGTTTACGGATGTATACGTATGGATAAAAGTAATGATTAGCAGTCATTTTTTTTACTAATATCTCGGAAATTAGTATTGACCACCAATTTTTTCAAAGAAAAAAAAGTTATTTGAAGTAATGCCGTTTACATCATATGTAGAAATTACTGAACTCGATGAAGTCGTAGTAGTTTAACCATTTTACCAACTCATTTTATCTGTAGGAATCATTGCATTTGTATCAGTATTACAAAGATAACATAAAAACTAGGAAAAATAAAATCTTTCTGATGTGATAACCGATTGAAGTGTCCAATTTTTACCATTACTGTCGACGTGCTGTATTTATCTCAGTTCCTTCCATTATCACTTCTTCTTTATCTGACAATGCTCGAGTCGATTCCTAGAAAAAAAGTTACCCTGCACGGAAGAATTCAACTGCTGGCTTCTGAACTTGGTTAAATTTAACCAAGCATTACTGTATTTGTATATTTTTTGCCTTTATTCTTTAGTATTGAGCAAGAAGATCTTTAATGTCTTTGCAAAGAGTTGTAAAATCTGGTCTCTGATGACTTTGTAAATGCCAACAGGGATACATAAGTTTTACATAAATTGTTTGTGGACAGGTAGATGGACAAGGAAGACGAGTGCCTCTTTCTAGTGCAGTTAACAATTCAGTGCTTGCTTTTTCTTGTTCATTTTGTAGACGCTCTGAACTTGAATCAAGACCAGGTAAACGTGGTTCTTCTCCAAAGCCAAATGTTTCATACATTGTAACACCAAAAGACCATACATCTGATCGAGTAGAAAATTTTCCATCTCTGATACTTTCTGGAGCATACCTTAAAACAAAAAGGATTTTGTTAAAATTTAAAGAATACATAATTTATAACAATTTATCACATTTATAACACTTGCCATTTAATAGGAAGGCCTCGATCAGTCTTTAAAATATAATAATCATTTTTTCCAGTAACTTGGGCTAGTCCAAAATCACTAATTTTAACTTTATTTTCATCAGCAACTAAAATATTTCTTGCAGCAAGATCTCTATGAACAATACTCATACTACCCAAGTAATCCATTCCTGTTGCAATATCTAAAGCAAAACCTAATAGTCTTTTATGTGTTAATTCTTGTTTATGAATTGCTAAATAACTTTGTAATGAACCATGCTTTACATATTCCATTACTAAACAAACTTCAGGTTCTGATATTACTCCAAGAATTTCTACTACATTTGGATGTTTCAAAGTCTGAAATTATATTAATTAATATTTGTTAGAATTTTAATACTGTAATATTACTGTCATATCGTACAAGATATAAATTACAAGTTAATTGAGTTGCTAGTAATCAATTTACCTTCATTATAGCAATTTCTCTTTCAAAATCTCTTATATCCGCATCAAGTGCTCTTGTTTTCAATTTTTTTATAGCAACTTGTTGTGGTTCAATGTCTTTCCCATTTTCTCTTTCCAATGTTCCTCTATAAACTTCTCCATAAAAACCTTGACCAATTCTACCTTGTAAAATTACGTTGCAATCGATATCTAATTCATAAATGCCTCGCATTTGACCTAAAGAACCATTGCTACTTCCTCCAGATCCACAATTTTCTCCAGTTTCAGTTTCATTTCTCCCCATCACCTATTTTAATATTAGTATTATATATTTTTATCACTTTCCTTTTTAATAAGTTATTATTAAAACATTTTATACAATTTGATAAAATTATTTTAATCTTTTTCATTTACAAATAATAACTGTTAAATTTAAAATATTGGGATATAATTAATATTTGATTAATATTGCTTATTATATTATTACTTCTCCTAAATCACCAGGATGTCCTATTCGAAGGGCTTGAGTGGAGTGTTCAATACAATTTATATTAGGAATGTTATTTTGAGAAATTGAACAACCTTCTGAATCTCTTCTTGCATTAGATAACCAACCTAAATATGCAAAGAGATCTTCTGTGCTACCCACAAAGTTATCACTGGTGTTGATTAAGCCCTGCATACCTAAATTAAAAAAATTAAATTAAATTAAATTAATTTAATTTAAAATAACATAATTTTTTTTAGATAACATTATTATAGTAAACAAATCTTACTGTCATCAATATCATTCCAGGGGAGACTTATAATGTCTGTAGAAAGACTATTACTTCTTGATTCACTATTTATTGATCTATTATCACTAGAATCAGAGTTATCTTGTTCAAATTTTTTTAATTCAGGGCTAAATAATTTAGGAAAAGCCGTTGCGTAAGCATGACTTCTGCGAGAATTGTATACTTGATATAAAATTTGATTTATATCTCTCATAATTGCTTGAGGTTGTTTTCTAAAACCAGTTGAATCACCCCAACATTCATACATTAATCTATAAACTTCCATAGGACAACCATTTGGAATAGGCAAACGTTTTCCAGATTTATAATATTTTTTCAATGTAGCAGCATTTGGAAATTCTTGTAATCTAGCTCCTCTAAAATAAAATGAAATTAAATTTTTATTTTTTAAAATTGCATGAAGTTATAATTATATTTATGAAATACTTATATGTACTTATATTTATGAAATAGATATATTTAACAATATAAATTTATTATATTTTATAACATAAATAAATTTATTTTACACAGTTCTGCCATTTGTAGTTAGTCCTACATAAGGATATATTTATAACTAAATTAAATGTAAATTATAATGAATTAATAAAAAAGAATAATAAATTTTATTTACTAAAAGATTTTACCTAGCAAATATTTGCCAAATTGTTGTTCCAACAGCCCAAACATCTGCTTGAAAACTATGCCTAGCTAATTCTGGATCATTATAAGTCTCTGGTGGTAACCAATGGATATCAGTTTCTGTATATACAAATATTCCCGGATCGGCAAGTTTTACCACAAAGCTGTTATTAGTATGGGCATGTACTAGCAGTTTATTGCACCTAATGTTACCATGAACTACACCATTCTCTTCAAGATGCCAAAGAGCAGTAGCTAAACAGGCTGTTGCTTCTACCATGTCTACAGTTTTAATAGTTTGAGAAGAAGAACTGCGTAAATATTCATCAAGGGAACCAAGTCGTACCAATTCCAAAAGCATTCCAATGGATGGTGTTACTGTTAAACCATACAACCTAATAAAACATACAAATTCATGTAAAATTAATATAATTTACACAAATTTATGAACATGATTATTACTTTATTATTACAAATTTAAGTATTTAACTATTACCTTATTATTAACTTTACACTATAATTTTAAATATTCACACTAATCATTAATAAATTAAATTATCACACTATTCATAATTATAGTACAGAAAATTATAATGTTATATTTATTTTATGTAAATTTATTAAAAATACCATTATTTACCTTACAAGAGTACCTGAACGTAATTGAGACCATTTCCCAGCAAGTTCAAGAAATTCTTTTGTATAATTTGTTTCTTGTTCTTGCTTTAAAATTTTAAGAGCAACTTCTAATTTTTTCCCCTTTGTTAACCTCCAAATTGCTCTATGAAGAGTTGTTGGGGAATATTGTTGACTCCTAGTACTTCTTAAAAAAGGTTTGTAAATTTCTAATTGATTTTGAGGTACACAACGAGGTCCAGTTTCTAAAACTGAAGCAACAATTTCTTCATCAGCTGCGACTTCACTAATTGCACTCTCAGGAGCACAAAGTAATAAGGGTGATTTATCTAAAAAATGAGTTAATTCTTTTTCTTATTTTCATCATTTGTAATTATTGCAATAATAATTTTGTTTCTTCTTTTTTAAATTTTATTATTTTCTATTAAATGAGAAATTTGTATAAAAAAAAGTAAGGTCGTTATTAAATTATCCAAAAACATATGTAACATTCACATTATTTTGTATATAGTGCTTTTTTCAGAATTATCGTATTTATATTTAAAATTATAATTATCATATTTTTTATGAACAATAACGAAACATCTGCTTGACTGATCTCTTATACTAGTTATTTTTTTACAGTGAAACCATAAATACTAATAACATAAACATTTTCTATAAGTCGTGAAAAAGATAAAAATGTACAACTTATTACAAAAATAAAATATTAGTTAAAACTATAAAATCGTAGCTTATTAAAATGAAATATAAATCAAAGCAAAAATAAAACCAATTTATTTAATTTACCATATTCTGAAGGTGGTAAACATTCTGATAAATATGACTGTCCTTCAGAATCTTGAAATGATGAGATACATTGTGCCAATGAATTATATCGAACAGGAATACCAGTAATAATGAAATCATCTGAAATCCTTTCTTCTATTTTTTTTGAAAATAGTTTTCTTTCCTTATTATATGCATCTAAGTAATAAACATTATACTCCGTATCACTTTCTCTAAGTAGATAAGAACCTGGTTTATTAGCACGTTTTTGATGAAGTTTTGTATACGAAAATTCTTGCCTAAAATAATATCTTAGTTTCATAATGTTTTTAAACTTTGTGTTTTTATAGAATTCTATACAATTATATTAAATTAAATAAATGAGGTCTTACCCAACTGGACCATGACATTTCAATTTATGTAATCTTTCTAAGGAAGGAGTGACAATCTCTCCACATAAATTAAATGTCCATTTAACTGCTAGACGATAATAACCATCCAATGCAGAAACAAAGGACATTAAAAGTGAATTTTTTGAAAATTTTAGATATGAAGGTATACCATTTTTTCTTGATATTTCCACTGTATTATCTTGCCTAGAAAATAGTAAAAATATTAATTATACTATTACATTATTGTTAAAATTTATAATAAGAAGTTTTATAAATTATTTATTATTCAAAGAAAAATGTATTTTTTGACAGAATTTTAAGTTACAGTAAAAAAGTTATTTATATTTAAATAAAAAAAAAATAAAGAAAAATAATAATATTTAAATTCTATTTTATATATAATTTCTACATCTAGTACATATATTTGTACACGCAAAAATTACGACTATATATAAAAAGTATATACAATTTGATATTATAGAAGATAAATGTAAATATCTTAAAAAGCAAATGAAGTAAACTATTTCTGATGATAAAATATATGAAAATAACGTTTCTAATTTCCTTAATAAAATGTATATAAATGTTACAAATAAAATATTAGAAAACATTATTGTGATACATCAAACCTAATTAATAAAGAAAATTTGCTTATATAAACAATAACATTTCTTTGTAGACAATTGAATAACAAGATTAAATTTGGTACAATATATAGTACAATTGCTGTTATAAAATGATATTTTTATTTATTAAAAAAGTAATAATATTTAAGTCTTGTTTTCAATAATTATCTTGTATATTTAGTAATAAATTTTAAACCTTATAGAAACAAAACATAAATCTTCAATTGCACACAATGTAATCCATGGAGAAGTAGTTGTTTCACAATATTTTACTTCATCTACATTGACTCTTAAAGTCACTTTTGCTGCAGGACTTTGAAAACTTCGGTCCATTAAAGCTTCATACTCTTCATACGGGTAATTTGGTGCCATACATTCAAATTGCTTTAAATATTGTTCTTTAACATAATTTGCATCATATCCAGATATTTTACAAAGTGCATTATGAATTGGTTTTTTAATGAAAAATCCATGATGTTTTATACATTCTCTAGGAATATATTTTCTGTACTCTGATTCCACAGTTTCTCTTGGTATCTTTTTTTCTAACATTACTCTATAAAAAAAAAAAAAAGAAAAAAAGAAGAAAGAAAGAAGAACTGAATTAATATTAAACAAAAATTAAATTTTATTGATCTATAAATAATGAAAGAGAAAATTTCAAATAGAAGTACTTCAAAAATTAATTATAATAACATTGAATATTTCTATATTACATTTAAACAGCAATTTATAAAAATAAATCAGTTATATATACTATACAAACCTATACATATCACTAACACCTAGCCCAATTAGTTCTTGTTTATGTCTCTCATAAACAATATCTGGCACTTTATTATCCATGACATCTGAGCGTGCTTGTTGGAAATAATAATCATAGGCATTTCTATCAACCTGTTTTAATCTATGTATGCTTGAAGGTTTAAATCTTAACCTAAAATCAAATTTGTTTTTGTCTTTCAGTTCTACATGATATGCTAATGGATACCAAAGTTTTGTATAATGATTTCGAAGAGCAAAGAGGTGTCTGGCAATTGGACCTATCCCAAGTGATTTACAGACCTGAAAAATTATTCTTTGCGTAAATTATATACAAACTTAGTTAGTAAAATAAACAAAATAACAAATTCAATTTAAAATATTATGCGCGCGCGTGCTTTGCGTGTGTGTGTGTGTGGGTACGCGCGCGCGCGTGTGTGTATGTGTGTGTGTGTGTTGGGAATATCAATCACATTAAATTTAATTTTTCATTTATCTAAATTAAATTTTATTAAAATATATATTAAATTTTGCAGAGAATACAAGCTATTAAATTCAAGATTTCAAGAATTCAAGAAATTGAAACTGAATTTTAATTCAATTATAATTTCATTTTAACTTTTAATGTAGATTTTTTATGTATTATATTCATTGTTAATAATTCATTTTAGTTCAATACGTTGTAGAATATTTAAAATAAAATATCTATTTAAGTTTAAAATAATGAAACAAAAATGCAAAAAAATATAATTTTTCCATTTCCTTACCTTGAGACATAGATCTTCAATTGTTTGTCCACAAGTAATTGTAAGAGTCAATTCCTTTTCTTCGGTTGCAACATAAACAATCGCCAGATGATCATTTTCCATTGTTAATACAATTTTACGTTCCTTTCACATTCTGTTGCTACAATTGCCCATGGCACACTGTTTATATACAATGTGAGTGTGAATCAACGCGCATGGCAATGAAAAACATGAAATAAATATATATATATATATATAGTCTACAGAATAATTAAACTTTTTAATTTATTTAT